GAAAACACTGATTTAAAAAATTCTCAACTTAGAAATACATTTCTAATGAAAATATCCTCCAAAAAACTGAGGCCAAGATAAAGACGTTATCAAACCAAACCTGAGAATTCAATACCACAGACCTGCTCTAAAAGAAATATTAAAGGGAGTTCTTTAAGCAGAATGAAGGTGGTCTCAGATAGAAACTTAGAAATGCAGAAAGGAATTGAGAACAGAGGAAGGATAACTGTATGAGTAAGTACAAAAAGGTTATTCAAAACACTACTGAAGTTTAAAATCTGAAGAATAAAATGCATGGTAACGGTGCCAAAGATGGGGTTGATAAATGAAGCTGTGTGATTCTGACATGATCAGGGAAGTAGTGAAAGTACAACTTAAAGTAGAAATGATTTGTCAGGTTTGCATGCTACATTCTCTAAGAACCATTAAAAATTAAAAATATTAGAAAATTAAGATGGAAATAGAATAGCTATTGAAATAATCTAAAAGAAGGCAACCAAGAAGAGTAAAAGAAACAAAAAGGTAGATAAAATAGAAAACATAGTAAAATGGTAGAAACAAGTTCAAATATATCAGCCATTATATTAACTACAATGAGCTACATATTACAATTAAAGACACAAATCAAGACTAGATTAAAACAAAAACCCATTTGCTGCTTATGAGAGTCTTCTTAAATATAAAGTCACAGAAGTTGAAAATACAGGCATGTATGGGATTCCAGAAAGATGGCAACAACATGGATTTTTAATCTCCCTAAATGTCCTCATGAAAAAATAGCTAATCCAAAACCCAAAATACCTGGTGAGATGAACAACTGAAAGCTTCAAGTCCTCCGTGGTATCAGTGGCTGTGCAAGAGGAAGGAGAGGGTTACTACAGGATGTATGATGGACCCAAGAATCCAAAATAGTAAATTTGCTCAGCAAGCTGTTTTGAGCAGCTATGGCGACCTTTTTTCAAAATAACCCCCAGTGATTCCTGCTTCCTGGTACTTAGACCTTACATAGTTCCCTCCCACATTTTACTGGGGTGTTCCGTGTGACCAGTAGAATGTGGCAGAAGTGATGCTATGCCACTTCTGAGATTCAGTTATAAAAACATTGAAGCTTCCATTTTCAGCTCCCTCAGATCACTGTCTTCTGGGGGAAGCCAGCTGCCATGTGGTAAGGATTCAGACAGCCTGTTGGTCTTCCTTCAGTTGAGCTTTTAGATGAGAGACTGCAGACCTGGTCAAGAGCTTCACTGAAACCTCAGGAAAGACCTTGAGCCAGGACTACCCAGCTAAGAAGCTCCCAAATTCGTGATTCACAGTGAGATAATTTTTGTTTTAAGCTGCTAGTTTTCGGATGATTTGTGTGTGTGTGTGCAACAATAGGTAAGTAATAATAGCAACTCAAGCTAGAAGGGGTATGCACTCCACTTTGGATGAGTATAAGCAGATTGCAGGAAGGTCTGAAGTGATTAGAGCCATATGAACTCTCAGAATTAGTCAGCTCAAGTTCTATTCCAGGATAAAGCCCCATATTGAGAAGAAACTACTGGGAATGCAATCCTAATTGAATAAGACAGAGACAATAAAAGACAAAAGAAGAAAAGGTTCAGTAAAAATAGGGAAGGGGAATAGAGCCAGGAGATTTCAGAAAGGAAGCTTCCATAGTGTCTTTTTTTAAAGTAATTTTTTGGTTTTTGGTTTCTGGGGGTTTTTTGTGAGGAAGATTGGCCCTGAGCTAACATCTGTTGCCAATCTTCCTCTTTTTGCTTGAGGAAGATTGTTGCTGAGCTAACATCTGTGCCAGTCTTCCTCTGTTTTATCTGGGATGTCACCACAAGCGTGACTTGACAAGCAGTGCTAGGTCTGCGCCCGGGATCTGAACCTGTGAACGCCAGGCCACCAAGGGAGTGTGCAAACTTAACCACTATGCTACCGGGCCAGCCCCTTAAAGTAATTTTTGAGGCATAATTTACATGCAATAATATGAACTACATATTTCAAGTGAATATTGGCAAGTATATATACCCCTGCCACCATTGTAATCAAGCTATAGAACATTTTTATCACCCTAGAAACTTCCTCTGGGCTCCATTAGAGTTAACCACCAACACCCTCAGCCTTGGCCCCAGATAATCACCAATCTGTTTTGTCAGATTAAATTTTAGCTGCCATAGTTTTCTGTATTTGTCAAAAAAAAAAAAACAACAAAAAGTGAGCTCTGTGGAACTCAGTGACTGTGAACTAGGAAAGCTAAGTGAAATTATACCCTCTAAAGGTTCAAGAAAATTAATTTTATAAAAAGAAAAGCATTGATGTCAAATTCCATACAAAATTAGGAGAAAAAGAAAAAATAAGGAACCAGGATAACATCCTTACAAGGAAAGCATCCCAGAAAGATATGCATGAGTCAAGAAAAAATGGGCCAAGGATTTTAAGTTGAGCCAAACTGGCCTTCAGTATAAAGGCTGGAGACAAATTGTCATTAACTTGTAAGAACTAGAGGAGGTATTCTCATGAACCCTTCCTGGGGAATCTTCTAGAGAACTAGCATCAGACCATCAAGATGGCTGAAGAAAAGTTGACATAAAGAGTGGTGATAAACATTAAAAATATTTCTATCTTTAGAACTAGGACTAAAGGAGATACATAAAGAGAAAGTATAGTATGTGATGGTTATATGATCTGACACTGTAGATGTAACTGTAAGACGGGGGAAATATGCAAAATTTTAAACTGCTTTCAGTAATCATAGTGACAACTGATGAGAATGTCTTGTATATAATGTGGGATAAAGCAAAGAAATATTTGTAGCATTCTAATTTAGACATCTCTAGTGTCTTTGAGAACTAGAATTTTCTGATGGTGGGGGGGCAGAAACGGGTATGTAATTCTTTTTTTAAGTGAATTTACCCTTACCTTGAATTTGAACAGAAAATATTTGTATGAACTCATGAGGTATTTTGTACATATATTGAATGTATGTTTAAATTTTGTAGCTCTGTCTCCTGAAAAAGCCTAGAAATGGTGATCAATCCAGTTGCAGTAAGCTTTTCTAGTGCCTAAATTGTGATCTTGAAATACCATTTCCACCTAAAAGAAACCAGGCTTCCTTGTAGATGAGACTCCAGGCTGGGGGCAGAAAATGTACAAGATGAACTTGGAACATCTTGTGTTGGGAATAAAAGGGAAGCCCACAAAGACTGTTATCTTGTCAGAAAGATTTTCGAGTCACCTGGAAGATCCCGTTGGCTAAAGATGAGACAATTTGAACACCAATAAGGAAAATTAACTACAGTGGATTGAAACACTTAAAATATGTATCTGAATCCCTAGTAATTATAGAAACTCATTGGTCACCTGTATAGGATGTTAGAGAACTATTTCCTTTAAAAACTGCTAAAGAAAGCATCTAAGCTGCATTTGTTGTATGATCTTATTATCACTGAGCCATCCAGTAGTTGATGAGGTCAAGTTTCTCCTTATGGAATTATTTTAGCAAATAAGTGAGAAGGGAATGATAGAACTGGAATATCAACATTTTCCAGTCTTCAGTGAATTCATAAATCTAGGCATTGAGCATCTGTGTCTGCTGTCATCAGAGGAAAAGACAACTAAGTGTAGGTACTTCCTAATGGAAATAAACCTATAAATAGTTTTACCAAAAACTAAACCTAAATTTGATTAAGCGTTTCTAAATGCAAAGATTGGCAATCTTTTCTGTAAAGGGCTAGATGGTGAATAGTTTCACCTTTGGCAGCCAGATGGTCTTGACTGTTAAAACTACTCAATTCTGCCATTGTAGCACCACTCCAACCATAGAGAATACATAAATGAGTAGGTATAGCTATGTTCCAGAAAAACTTTATTTACAAAAACAGGCAGCAGATCAAAGTTTTTTTGACCTCTACTTTGGATCCAACTATTGATTACTGGTAATACAAATGACAGAAAAAACTATTTAAACTACACTTTGGGATTGCAAATATCAAAATCAAGACTGTGGGAAACTGTAGGACAAATATGGGAATTCTTCAACAAATTGCAAATAAGAAAGAGATCATGTGGGAATTTATAAATTAGAGTCTTTAAAACAGGCAAAACTATACCATTTGCTTAGGGAGGCAAACAGGTGGTAAGACTGAAGAAAATTAAGGTAGATACTCTTGGAAGGGAGTAAAGAGATGGTGATTGAGAGGGAGCATTTCAGGGGCTTTTGAGGTAGTTAACAGTTATATCGCCTGTCACGCTTGGTGATTATAAGGATACATATAATTGGTTAAACTATACTTTTATCTGCAGTTTTCTGCATTTGTGTATATTTGACACTAAATTTTTAAAAGAAAAGGTGAGAGGATGGAAAAAATACTTGAGCAAATGCTAACCAAAAAAACAAAGATACACTTTTGATACAGAATGCATTACTAGAGATAGAGATATTTCATAAGAAGATTTAAGAATTCTAAATCTGTATGCAGCCAATAACGTAGCTTCAGAAATATAAAGCAAAAGTTAACAGATTAAAAGGAGAGAAGTATACAATTCCACCGTCATAGCAGGAAACTTTGAAGAAGCGTATGCAAACAGGTATAAATTGTGTCTGAAAAATATGGCTTAGATTTGAAAGACTTCTTTTTAATAGGAAGTCATCTTTTACCCAGAAACTTACTGTATTTATTAGAAATATGTTTCAATCTTTCATTCTAATTGACAGAGTATCCTTTTGTCTAGTCTTTAAGTTTACAAGATAGTTATCTTCTTGCCAGATAATCTATGTGAAGTATCTAAATTTTTTTTCCTAATAATATTACACTAAAGTTACACTTTGAATATTAACTAATCACTATTGGAGTTTTCCTACTATTGGAAACGATAGCTCAGAGTGGTTAGCATAGCTATAATCCCAATTTGTGTACAAAGTTTAGTGTGTTTCCAAAATGACTTTTAATTATTTGCATATCGTTTAGATTTTGCTGGCAGAAGTTAACCTTTCTTTGTTTTTTAAACAGGGGTTCCGAAGGAAAATTAAATGACTGCCAGATAACATTCGTAAATGAAATCTTCAAGATTGAGAAACCTGGAGCCCATCCTCTTTCATTGGCAGATGGAAAGTTTTTAAGTATGAATTTTTCTTATGGGCTTAGACTATATATATTGTACATGGTTGGCTTTTTAACTAGCCAGGGAATCACTTGGGGAAGTATAAAACTGTAGACCATACAAATTAGTTTTCAAGAAAACAGTTTTGATCTAAGATCTATTTTGGTTTAATGGATTTTTCTCAAATGATAAAAATTTGTTTTCAAAGAAATGTTTTCTCAGCTTGGCATTTTATTGCCATTTTCTTGCTGTGTTTCCTCTATTATAGATTCTGTCTAAATAAAAAACCCTTTTCAGTAATTTTGCAGCCATCCAAGATTAATTTTTCATAATAAGACTTATTATCAGTAGAGCCTGAGAATAATAATGCTGGTTGAGCCTTGAATTTCTGGCAGATAATAAATCAGGCTTATATAGTCATTAGAATGTTAGAATGTAGCCCTGCCTCTTTATTGTGCATATTTTACTTGCTTAATATGTTACAGCTAGTTGGTGACAGGTAAAACTAGATTCTAGGTCTTTTCCTTCATGGTTCACTCACTGTCCTTTCAAATATTTTAGTGTCTCATGCTCTCTTAATTCTGAATTTTTCGTGGAGAGCAATCCATTGGCTTTATGCCACATGTCAATGTCTAGTATTCTGGAAAAGAAATACTCAAAACTAAAGAGAGCTGCCTAACCTCTTTTTACCATAGTCATGCAAGATTAAAACAAGACAAGACCTTTAACAGATCAGTAAATAGACTTTCTTGTTACTAGTCTAGGCCATTCTCATTTTTTGAGGTTGCAATGCTAATATGTCTAGATTTGAATTAAGAACCTTAAAGCATACTCTATATGACTACTTGTATGGTTATATCCTAGGAATAAAAGGTAACTTGATGAGTAAACCTATTTAGCTGACTCAAGGAAAGGTTTGGATCTGCAGAATAGATGGTACCTAACAGTTCCATTTATTAAGTAGTTAGGTCCACACAACTTTGTTCAACAGAGTATTGTCTTTCCCTTGAAATTTCATAATATCCTTTGGTGCCCCGTTGAGTTTACTGCATTGCCCCTGGGCCTCTTGGTGCACATTTGGGGAACTGTGGTTCTAATCAATAAATTTTTAAGGCAAAAATATACATTATCCTCGTGCTTGCAGGTAATTAGGTAATTAGGCAGTTTATCACTGGCATACGCCTGGGTCCCATCCCTGATATTTTTATTCATAAACCTCGAATGAAGCTCAGGCATTTATTCTTCTTTTCTTTCTTTTTTTTTTTTTTTGTTGAGAAAGATTGGCCCTGAGCTAACATCTGTGCCAGTCTTACTCTGTTTTTTTGTATGTGGGATGCTGCCACAGCGTGGCTTGCTGAGTGGTGTGTAGGTCTGTGTCCAGGATCCGAACCTGTGAACCCCAGGCTGCTGAAGCAGAATGTGAACTTAACCACTGTGCCACCAGGCCAGCCCCTCAGGTATTTATTCTTAAAGTCCACACTTGATTATTCCTATCGATCCTTTCTCTTCATTAAAAATGCTGTATGCTGGGGCTGGCCCTGTGGCCGAGTGGTTAAGTTCGCGCGCTCCGCTGCAGGCAGCCGAGTGTTTCGTTTGTTCAAATCCTGGGCACGGACATGGCACTGCTCATCAAGCTACGCTGAGGCAGCGTCCTACATGCCACAACTAGAAGGACCCACAACGAAGAATATACAGCTATGTACCTGTGGGCTTTGGGGAGAAAAAGGAAAAAAAATAAAATCTTAAAAAAAAAAAAATCCTGTATGCTATTTTCATGGATTTTTCTTTATAAGATTCATAGATGTAAAAATGATTTTTAAGACTGAGCTTGCTGTAATTTTGTATTTAATAGGGAAAAATGACCCTGAATGTGACTTTTGTGGTGGAGACCCAGATAAGAACTGCCGTTCTTGCTCCTGTCGTATATGTGGTGGAAAACAGGAACCCAACATGCAGCTTCTGTGTGATGAATGTAACATGGCCTATCATATTTACTGCCTGAATCCACCTTTGGATAAGGTCCCTGAAGAGGAGTACTGGTATGATTATCAGGGTTTTTTTTGTTGTTCCTTTGTTAGAATTGAATGTGACGTATGCATTTGAACCACCAAAAGTAGATTTCTAAAGATACAGACTGTGTATTAAATGCTTAAAATTTTATAGCCAATGGTTACTTGGCATCAATACCTTTTATTCAGTTATTATGACAGCTTCTGAACTAGTCTCTAGCTCCATTTTTTAATCCCTCCAGTCCCTTCTCCAGTATGGAGTCTATTCTTTCAAAAATGCAAATCCATTTGTTCCTTTTTTGCTTCAGAAATGTTCTGTTATACCTGATTTTCTCCAGCTGTATCTCTTACCATTTTCCTCTTCCATTTCCCCAAATATTCTACACTCTAGCCAGATTAAATGTCTTTCAGCTCCTTAAATAACTCATGTTCTTTGTCTCCTCTGGGCTTGACACTTGACACATTTTCTTCTTGAAAACGTTTTCCTCTTTGCTTAACTTTAAGATGATATACATCTTCCAAGTTTTCGCTTAACTATGACTTCATCTGGGAAGCCTTTGTGAATGGTCCCCTTTTCCCCAAATTATTTTAGATGCGCCTATTATATTCTATAATAGTACTTAGTAGTTATTAAGTGCTTAATATATGCTAGATGCTAACAAAGTGCTTTATATGGATTATGATATTTAATCCTATGAGGTTAATAAGTAGAACCAAGGACCAAGGTCAAATACACTTGCCAAAATCTGTATACTTCTACTGAGTAGTGTTGGCTACAAAAAGAAATGATTAGAAAAGAAACTGATAAAAATGTGCCAAAAGTTTCATAATGAACTTTTTAATGTAATATTAAGAACTTTTTTCTTTTTAAACTATGGACTATGTTGCTAGCATGGAAGGTTAACTTAGAGGGATGACATTCTCAGAAATACTAACATCACAGTAGGGTAGCTTTTCTGAAGAATAGATTGTTCTCCGTTCCTTTGGTCTCTTCCCACCTGTGGGGAAGGTTGTTATTGTGTTACAGTAGAGGCTCTAGGGGTGGGACAAGAGGGAAGGGATATAACTTCTTCACCTCCCCCTACCACTACCTTGCATGGTCACATCCTGAATTTTACCATCACCAGTAACTGTATTTCCTCTGAAGTCTCGTGTTTTTCTTCCCTTTTGTTTCTGTGGACTGTATATTTCCACCTCTAAAATGCAAACCCTTCTACCTGCTTTCACAGTTCCAGGAACTTCATTCCTGCAGTTAATTCCTCTCCCAAATTGCCATTACGGGGTTATTCTCATTAGTATCCTAGAATCTCCTGAGTTTTCAAAACATGCACACACACACGCCTTTCCTTTGATCCCATTTTTCCCACCAGCTGCCTACACCAATTCTCTGCTCTCTTCATGGCAAAGCTTCTCAAGAGCTGTCTCCACTGATGATTTCCATTTTCTCTCCTGCCATTCATATCTCAGCTCTCCAATCGGACTCTCCTTCCCACTACTACACTATATCTGCTTATGTTAGGGTCACAGACACATTCTGTATTGCCAAACTCAATGATCACTTCTCAGTCCTCTCCTTACTGTACTGCTCAGTTGCTAACTCTCTTTTGATGGATTATATGATACCATGTGATCTAATTTTCCTCCTACTTCACCAGTCTTTCCTTCTTAGTCTCTTGTTAGTTTTCTCTCGTCTACCAGATTTCAGAGTTTTCCAAAGCACTACTCACTTGTTTTCTCTCTTCATACTTGCTCCCTAGATGACCTCATCCAATCAAGAGACTTTAAATACCAAGCTAATGGTTCTGAATTTGTATCTTCAGATCTAATCTCCCCTGAGCTTTATATTCTTAGTTCAACTGCATATTTGACTGGCATCACAAATCTTGATTTACACAAGCACATCCCCTAAAATCCTGCTCCTTCCCCAATCTTCAGTAAATAAATAGCATCATCTTACCCACTTGTTTATGCCAAAAAGCTAAACTTCATCTTTTATTCCCTCTTTGCCCTCTTCATGTACTCTACATCCAATAATATATGAGCAAATCTTGTCATTGCTCCATATCTTTCTCTGTTCTCACCCCCCAATCCAAAACACCATCTCTTCCCTGAACTGTATAATAAATTCCTAGTCTCCTTGCTTTCACATTGCCCACTAGTTGTCCTTTATACCATAGCAGCAGAATGATCTTACTAAGTCCTGAGTCAGGTTACTCACCTGTATAAAACTTCTACTGTCCTCCTTTTGCACTTAGAATGAAATCTGAGCCCTTGCCATCTGTGACCTGGCCCCTGCCAACTGTCTAACCTCATTGCTTATCACTATCCAGTTTGTTTACTAAACCAGCTAAATCCACTTTTATGTTCTTCAAAGCATACCATTCCTTCTTATGCCTCAGGACCCCAGGACTTTGTCTGGAATGCCTTCCTTGGCTTCCTCATACGACTGACTTCTCTGGTCTCAGCTGGAATACCACCTCAGAAGCTTACTCTATCTAAGGACACATACCATTTCTAATCACTCTTACCACCCACATAACCCTGATGTATTTCCTTTATAGCACTTAACCACTTCCTGAAATTGTTTCATTGTGTGTACTAGTTTTCCTTAACTACTGTGTACAAACATTTTGATCAGAAACATTTATGCCTAGCACCAAAATAATGCGTGGAATATAGGAGGTTTTGAACAAACCTGATGAAGGGATGAATTCCAGGGAAGATTTTATTATCTTAATATAGAAGTCTTACATTATCCTATAGAAGACTGTCTTAGATTACTCTTGGAGTATCTCTACATTCAGATTGAGATCCTTCACTTCATCTGGAACTCTTTAACCATAAATTTTGTTTTCTACTTCTCCAAATCATGTCATTTGTATATCGAACGTGTGATGAGAACTCACTTTCTCATCAGACAGAGAGAATACCTGCTTCACTCATAAGACCTTTGATAAAATTATAGTTATATAAAGGTTAGCAGGTCAGGTAAAATACACTCTTTCGTAGAACAAATTAATTTTTGGAAGCTTTCCTGATTTCCCAGTAGAATGGATTTTACTTGATAGTATTTATTGCTTTCTCCTATATAATTTTGTCTTGAATTTGTCTCTGTATCTCACTGCCTAACTAATTTTCTCAGAAGCAGGGACTGAATTATTTACATTTTTCTTTTCCATAGAACTGAACAAGATATCTCATAAGTAGGCAGTCAGAATTAACTAGTGAGCATAGCTGTCTTCTTGTTTGCTTGGTAGGCTACATGGAACAGATAATTATGAAATAGTACAGACAAAGAAATTTGAGATTAATGAAGGGAGTAGCCAGTCCATCTTTGTTAGGATATTCCCAGAGTTTCCATTCCTTGGTGACACAAGAATAGCCCCATCTCATTCTATAGACATACTTTGCTTTTCAGAAATGATTTACGGCAGCTTATAATGATATATAAGTTACATAGGATAACCAACTATAAATTTATAGGCTAAAGGACAAACAAGTATAGGGAATTAAAACTGAGCCTAGGGAGAAGGCTGATATAAACAAACATCCTTCAGTCCTGTATAGTTACAATAGTTTATACATTTTTTGACTTTCAGAATTCTAATAACCAATTTAGATGGGGAGATGTATCAACTGCATAACTTAGTGTTCAGCCTAGAATCATCTATTCTTGCTACCTTTGTTTTAATGATAAGAACTTCAAATGAGTAATTTCTGTTCTCACCATTAGTAATAAGATCAGAGCTCATGGTGCTATTTGAATTGGACAGCTTTATTTGGGCATTTGAACTGAATTTGAGAATTTATGATATTAAAATCTTGTAAGTTCTCTAAAAGAATGACAAGGGTTTTTCCAGCCAGCTTACCCAAGTAAATATTTTGATAAGTTTAATACCTAAATGCTAGCTGAAGCCCTGTAATATACACCAAATATTACATATTAAAACTTTTCTAACCCAGAAAGGCCATTATTCTGTTACTGGCTTTAATATGGTATTATCAAAATTCCTTTTTTTCCCCCCTCCCCTCTTTTAAAGGTATTGTCCTTCCTGTAAAACTGATTCCAGTGAAGTTGTAAAGGCTGGTGAAAGACTCAAGATGAGTAAAAAGAAAGCAAAGATGCCATCAGCTAGTACTGAAAGCCGGAGAGATTGGGGCAGGGTAAAGAAGAAAGTCTACTTTTTTCCTTAGTTATAATGTTTATAACTGTAATGCAAGTTATAATGTTTCAATACCAATAGTAGTAATGGTATAAACTTGAAGTTTCAGAAATGGTAACAAATAACTATATTGTTTAATCATACAAATTGTTAATTTATATAATTGTTCATCATATGTGAATTTATTCATATAAATTGTTATATATTGTTAATCATATAAATAGTTGGGTTTCTATTTTATGGGAATTGAGGGCTTTCTTTAAGGTTTAATGTAACTGATTTCTCAAACAGCTTGTTCTGTCGCTTGTAGGGAATGGCCTGTGTTGGTCGCACTAGAGAGTGTACTATTGTTCCTTCTAATCATTATGGACCTATTCCTGGGATTCCTGTAGGATCGACTTGGAGATTTAGAGTTCAGGTATGTTTTAAATTGGCTTAGTCGAAAGGGTAAAATTGAGTTATAGTTCAAATTGTAGCAGTGTCACTGTCTATTGATTATAAATGGAGTAACCTAGGTAGTATCATATGGCATTCACTTGTTAGAATGAAAGATTTTCTGCAGGATAGACTCTTCACCATAGCTTAACAGACAGGAACATACATCATGGAATTAGGCATCAGACATGCCTTTTCATCACTTTGTTTTACTGTTCTGTTACAGTTACAGTAGTTATCGTTATTGTTAAGCTTTCTAAAGAATTTTGTTCACCAACAATTTAATTTGAAATACTAAATTTTTTTTCTTTATTGTATGGTAAGTTCTCATTTAATGTCATTGAACTCCAAGAAAGTTCACTTCAGGTGTTTTCTTTGGGGCTTAGGCTCCTGAATGAATGTTAAGATATTAGAGAAAGCACCAGATAATACAAGGATAAAATTACTTCTCTTTTCCTGTAGAAGAAGGCTTTATTGTATTCATTCCTAATTTCTTTATTAGAAAGGTAATTTTATCACTATGGAAAACGTAATGTGAAAAAATCGCTTAGGTAGAGCAGTTTCCAATTAGAGACAGGATTCTGAACTTTACCATTAACTAAGAGTTGAGTGGCCGAAGTTGTCTTGAGAGAAAAGAACAAAGCTGAAGGCGTCACAATCCCTGACTTCAATACATACTACAAAGCTACAGTAATCAAAACAGCATGGTACTGGCACAGAAACAGACACACAGATCAATGAAACAGAATTGAAAGCCCAGAAATAAAACCACACATCTAGGAACAGCTAATCTTTGACAATAGAGCCAAGAACATACAGTGGAGAAATGAGTCTTAGTAAATGATGTTGGGAAAACTGAATAGCCCCGTGAAAAGAATGAAAGTAGACCATTATCGTATACCATATACAAACATCAACTCAAAATGGATTACGTACGTGATTGTAACACCCAAAATCGTAAAACTCAGAAAAAAATATAGGCAGTACACTCTTCGACATTGGTCTTAGCAACATCTTTTCAAATACCATGTCTACTCAACAAGGGAAACAAAAGAAAAAGTTAACAAATGGGATTACATCAAACTAAAGAGCCTTCTGCAAAGCAAAGGAAACCATGAACAAAATTAAAAGACAATCCACCAACTGGGAGAAAATATTTGCAAATCGTTTATCAGACAAGGAGTTGATCTCCAAAATATATAAAGAACTCATACGACTCAACAAAAAAACCCCAAACAACCCAATCAAAAAATGGGCAGAGGATATGAACAGACATTTTTCCAAAGAAGATATACAGATGGCCAACAGACACATGAACAGATGTTCAACATGACTAGTCATTAGGGAAACGCAAATCAAAGCTACAATGAGATACCACCTTAAATCTGTCAGAATGGCTATAATTACCAAGACAAAAAACAACAAATGCTGGAGAGGATGTGGAGAAAAGGGCACCCTCATACAGTGCTGGTGGGAATGCAAACTGGTGCAGCCACTATGGAAAACAGTATGGAGATTTCTCAAAAAATTAAAAATAGAAATACCATATGATCCAGCTATCCCACTACTGGGTATTTATCCAAAGAACTTAAAATCAATGATCCAAAGAGATTTATGCACCCCCTATGTTCATTGCAGCATTATTCACAATAGCCAAGATGCGGAAGGAGCCCAAGTGCCCATCAACTGATGAATGATAAACACACACACACACACACACACACACACACACACACACAATGGAACACTATTCAGCCACAAAAAAGGACAAAATTGTGCTGTTTGTGACAACATGGAGGGACCTTGAGGGTATTGTGCTAAGTGAAGTAAGCCAGACAGACAAAGACATACATTGTATGATTTCACTCATATGTGGAAAATAAACATATGGATAAAGAGAACAGATTAGTGGTTATTAGAGAGGAAGGGGGTTGGGAGGGGGTAAAGGGGCACATATGTATGGTGACACATAAAAACTAGACTGTTGATGGTGAACATGATGCAGTCTATACAGAAACTGATATATAATAACATACACTTGAAATTTGTACAATGTTATAAGCCATTATGACCTCAACAAAATAATTTTTGAAAAATGATAAGATTTGAGTGGGCCCTGGTGCTTAGACCATTGATTAAAATTTTTAAATTCAGTTAGTGTGATACATAGACATAGCTTGAAAAGGTAAATACTAGCACTTGATTTATATTTTAAAAACTCCCCCTTTTCATCCCTTTTTTCTCTTTCTCAGAGACAACCACTTTAAAGTTTTAGTTATTTCTTCCAGATTTACCTCCTTATTGCTAATAATACGTTTATACTTGTGTTCATATTTTAATTTTGTTAACTTCTTTCTATAGAAGATGAGCATTTAGTTTATCACTTACACTCTGTGTGTTCCCCTCCTTACATTGGTTGTATCATAATTTTGACCAGATCAGTATTTAACATTTAAATTGTTATGACTTTAGATCTATACAGTAAAAATACTATAAGTAAATACAGTAAAATAATGTAAATATAATAAAAAATACTCTTAGTATATTTATAATTGCATTGTTTTTTGTTTGCTTCATTTTTATATACTTGTTACTAATTCATTCCCAAACTCTTAGAACCCCATTAATACAGTCTAAGATGACTTTGAGGTTGTTGGCCTGAGCAACTAGAACGATGGATTTGCCATTTAGGAAGTGGAGAAGATTCAGAATAGATTTATCAGGATTAGAGAGGTTGCGAATCAAGTGGTCCTGTCTTTTGAAGTACCTGGTGCTTCCAAGGCCTGAATCCAGGTTCTGTTGTTCTTAGCAGCTTCTCATTGGCTTGTAACGTGCCCCTTTCCCTACCCCACTGTGTAGGCCCGGATTTCAACTTCCTTTTCTCTGCTAAGAACAGTTGTATGATAAACAGATGAATTAGAATTACTTCTCTTAGAGAGTTCGAAGTACACAGAGGGGTGATACTTAGTTTCAGTACACCAGAATCGACATATGGGAAAAAGCAGTAAGCCATTGAAGTAAAAAAAAAAAAACAAAAAAAAAAAACAAGATGGATTTGAGAGATTTAGGAGGTCGAATCAGCAGTATTTGTGACCAAATGGGTTTGGAGATAAAGGAGAAGAATGAGACTGAAATGGCTCTTGCCTTTCTGACTTGGCTAGAGAACAGTGAATCAAAGGCAAGAAATAAGAAGGGAAGAGATCTGGAGCACTGGGAGCAAATTCTTTTTTACCCAAGTTGAGCTGGAATTACCAATAGGTGTGAGATGATGATTATTTAATAGTTATTTTGAAACTCACAATTCTAGGCCTGAGCATTTTTAACAGCCATCAGCTCAATACCTAAGGGATATATAGTTGGGGAGAAATAGGACAGCAAAAGGTAGAACTCTGGGTGACATTCAGTACTTAGCTGTGGGTCTTTAGGATCCAATAATATATGTGAAATGGTTTTGTAAATGTAACTTAACTAACTGTTCAAAGATATTTTGAGACACTCTGTTTATTTTATAGGTGAGCGAAGCAGGTGTCCATAGGCCACATGTTGGTGGGATTCATGGTCGAAGTAATGATGGGGCTTATTCTCTTGTCCTGGCTGGTGGATTTGCAGATGAAGTAGTAAGTCATGATACAACCTTGTTCTTTAGAACCTATCCTGATTGTTCAATAAAATACATAAGCTTTCTGTGGAAGTTATCAAATCTCATCTCTTTTTAGCATAGTTTTTATGTTAGAGTGGTTAGTTCTGTCCAAGTTACAAGGTATATCAATTGGCAGTCTTTAATCTTTGCATGTACTGATTTGAGTTGTATATATGTGTGGTAACTGAGATGCAATTTTATGGCAATGAAAATACATTCTTTGTAGGGCTCATTTTTTTAAAATTAAACTTATTATTTGGGGATAATTGTAGATTGACAAATAACGTTAGAAATTCTAGAGAGATCTCTGTGCCCTTTCCCCGTTTTCCCTAGATGGTAATATCTTGGAAAACTATGGTACAGTATCACAACCAGGATATTGACACTGATACATTCAGGATACTGAACATTTCTCTCACCTCGGTTATCCCTCATGTTGCCCTTTTATACCCATACCTACTATATCTGCTCCCCCAACCTCTCATTACCCCTGACAACCACTAATCTGTTCTCCATTCCTATAATTTTGTCACTTCAAAAATTTTTATAAGTGGAGTCATATGTAGCCTTTGGGATTGGCTTTTTTCACTCAGCATAATTCTCAAATTGTGGCGTGTGTTAGTAGTTGATTCATTTTTATTGTGAGTAGTAGTCCATGATGTGGGTGTGCCACAGTTTGTCTAAGCATTCACCTGTTGAAGAATGTCTGGGTTGTTTCCAGTTTTTGGCTATTAGGAATAAAACTACGGGGTTTTTTTGTAAACGTAAGTCTTCATTTCTCTGGAATAAATACTCAGAAGTGCAGTTGCTGGGTTGCATGGTAGTTGTATGTTTAGTTTTTTGAGAAACTCCCAAACTGTTTTGCAGAGTGACTGTACCACTTAATATTCATGTCAGCAGTGTATGAATGATCCAGTTTCTCTTCCTCCTTGTCAGCGTTTGGTGATGTTGCTTTATTTTATTTTAGCCATTCTAATAGGTGTGTAGTGATATCTCATTGTGGTTTTAATTGACATTTCCCTAAAGCCTAATGGTTTGGGCATGATTTATTTGCTTATTTGCTATGTATATGGCTTCTTTGGTGGTATCTCTCTTCAGGTCTTTTGCCCATTTTCTAATTGGGTTGTATTTGGTTTTTTTACTGTTCATTGGATATGTAGTTTGCAAGTATTTTCTCCAAGTATGTTTCATTTGCCTTCTTTCATGATATGTTATAATGATGAATTAGAGTAGCTTTGGAAAGCCCAAGATGTAGTATGTTTTCAGACAAAGGTAGAAAAGCTTGCCATCTTTCTGAAAGGCAAATTTGGCAGTACGTTTACGTTAGTATGGCAATATTCAGTATGTATTCAATATTCAGTACTAATACGTTAGTATGGAAATATTCAGGTTAATCCTTTGAGTACTTCTTTAGTGTGCATATTTTGAAGCTATGTCTTTAAGTATTTTTTCAGAAATACAAAGGATGTTATATAATTTATTACAGGCAGCAGTTGTTTTTTTTTAAGACTCTGTAAGAAAACAAACAAACTAATGGTGGAGTCTCTTTAACATATGTTTTTAGCATCTAGTCAATTGTATTTGATCTGGGCCCTAACATTTGTGTGTGAGACCTTGGCCAAATTATTTAACTCCAGTATACCTCAGTTTCCTGGTCTGTAAAATAGAAAAAATAGTATCATTTTATATCAGAATTAAATGAGATAATTTAGGGAGTCCTGGGCATGTAACAAGGATTCAAACAGTTCGTCTGTAGCAGTAGCTTATCTTAAATATATGATACATAAAACATGTAATTGTCAAGCTAAAAACAAAGACCACGTTGAAGTGGAATGCGTGTTATTCCTTTTCTTTCCATCTTTTGAATATAGTTACTAGTCAGGCAAACATTTGTGGAGAAAAGTACTAATGGGCTGTTAATTACATGTCTTAAGCACTTAATTCTAAGTCTATTAAAAATGTAAAGAAGAGTTTATTTTAGGACTAAAACACATGGTCTTAGATTGCCAGCTAAGATGTATCTGGAGATGATATATTTTGTAAGCATTTTCAATCTTTTGATCTTTTCTTGTAGGCAAGTCATATGCATAGAAATAGGTAGAGGAAACCTGAATAAGCTTTTCTCATTTGAGAAAAAATTTGGTCTGAAACCTTTAGTTTAGTATAACATTTGTAGAGCCAATGATCTTTGTTCTGTTTGAATGAATGGTCATGAAGCAATTGAATACCTAGTGATAAACTAGTTAATATTTTAGTCTAGTAGTGAGAATTAATCATAGACCAGCTTTAGTGCCCTGTGTTTGGGTGACCTCACTTGAGGACCCACCGTGATCTGCCTCTTACAGCTGTCCTGAGAAGTAGTTTGCTTAGTGATGAGAAACAGACTCTGGAGCCAGGCTGTTCGGGTTTGTGTCCTGGTGCCATCTCTTACTAGCTGTGTGATCCTAACCAAGTTAGTGAACCTATGCCTTATCTATAAAATAGGGCTTATATACCTACCTCATACGGTTGATTTGAGTGTTAAATTAGTTAATCATATGTAAAATGCTTAACCTAACTTCACACACACAATAAGTGCTAGGTTGGTGTTACCAGTTGTACTGATAGTAAGTACCCAACTTTGCAGGCATGTAAGGGATATTATGAGAGAGAAACTGGCAAAAATTGAGGCTATATTCTAGGCAGCCTTGAATTAAAGAATCATTCAAGGTGTCTGGGAAAAGTTTAATGATCTTAATTGTGCTTTAGGGTATTTATCTGATCGTTTTGGGGGTGGGGGGGCTTGAGAAGATTGGGATGACAGTCTTTTGCTTGATATGGGTGATGGCAGGAATGGGAATATCCAGTTTATTGTGGTAGACAGCTGCTTTACAGCTTGGGAGAAGAGTAGAGATTGGGAAATTGAATCACTGGGGCAGCACTATGTGCCCTGTGTAGATCATGGCTTTATGTGAGCTTTTCCCAGGAAGCAGCCTTGTTTAGGCTACTGCCATCCAAGGATACAACTTAGTGGAGCGTGGACTAGAAGATGCAGCATATTTAGGCTGATCATTTTTCCATAGGAAAAATAGTCTGAAATAGTATTGGCTGAGCTCTGGCAGTCTGGCAATTCTTTTTTTCCCTAATGATAATTAAAAGTTTTTGTTGATGTAAAGATGAGTTAATGATATAGAATTTTAACTTGATTATTTGCTGCTTGGAAAATAATCAGAAATGTTTTTGTTCTTCTCTTTTAAACACTGTTTAGCTTAGGTTGCCCTTCTCATGCTTTCCTAGTCCCTATTCCCTTTTTCTTTATAGCACTGCTACAGTTAGAACTAAAAGTTGACAGGGTCATGAATATGAGCATTGTGAAGTTGATCCAGATACCATTTGGAAGACTGTTTCTGATCAGTTTAAGAAGTGTTCTAGACTGTTCTAGATGTACTTATTTGTTAGGATTCCTTCAAATGGAATATACCTAGTGTATTCATCTTTAGTAGGTGAAATTCCGTAATGCCTTATTCTTCAAAATAGAGACCTCAATACGGATCAATAAAAAATGAATTCAAGGTTTTTGGGGAGGAAAAAACTCTTAAAGCCATGAGATTTTAGTTAAGACTTTGAATCCAAAGGAAAAACAAGGTGCAAAATAATTGACCTACAGCACAAGCAAGAATTTAGTAAAGAAAACTTCAGAGACCAGCCCAGTGGCATAGTGGTTAAGTTCATGCACTCTGCTTCAGCAGCCCAGGTTCACTGGTTTGGATCCCGGGTGCAGACCTATGCACTGCTCATGAAGCTATGCTGTGGTGGCATCCCACATACAAAAATAGAGGAAGATTGGCACAGATGTTAGCTCAGCAACAATCTTCCTTGAGCAAAAAGAGGAAGATTGGCAACAGATGTTCACTCAGGGCCGATCTTCCTCACCAAAGAAAAGAGAAAAGAAAAGAAACCAGTCTGAACTAATTAAAATAATCTTGCATTAAAGAACTGTTATTCAGATAATGTTAGTAGAATTAATTTGTGTACTGATAGTTAGTTTTCTCAATTTACTTTGAGTACTGAATCAGATAGACTTAATAATATCAATACAGGGGCTGGCCCGGTGGTGCAACAATTAAGTGCTCACATTCCAATTCGGCGGCCCAGGGTTCACTGGTTCGGATCCTGGGTACAGACATGGCACTGCTTGGCAAGTCACATATATGTGGCAGGCGTCCCACATATAAAGTAGAGGAAGATGAGCACGGATGTTAGCTCAGGGCCAGTCTTCCTCAGCAAAAAGAGGGACAATGGCAGCAGTTAGCTCAGGGCTAATCTTCCTCAAAAAATAAATAAATAAATAATATAAATTTGTAGCTACTGCAGAAATAATTAGTGGAGCTAGTTTATGTAACATTTACTTCTTTTGGCATGTTTTTTTCACATTTATTGAACAACTTTATATAACTTTTAGTTTTTAAATTCTTTTCCAACTTTCTTTTTAATCATAGGTGATTATTTTACCTGACTGTAACTTGAGTAAACCCATAGAGTGTGAAATGTGGGGAACTTTCCATGCTGTTAGAATTTGAAATTTGAAATTTGAAATTTAGCAGCAAATTTTGGTATGGTGTAGATTGCTGTTGGGAAATCAGTTATGGAGTATTTATTAAAATAGTATTCTATAAAGAACCTACAAGTTAATATTGATGTTTATTTTAATAATAGTGAATTAAATGAAGCAATATTCCCAACCCATAAACCTTATTTTGTAACAGTCTATAAATTATTTGATTATATATGTATCATGAGAATAGCCATATTTGGAGGTGTTGGAAGCTGTAACTTTAAAATAAAATCTTTAGATCAGGTGATAAAACTTGAAGATATACTACACACAAGATTGCATTTGAATTTTGCTTTATTATGGTGGATCACTTAACTAAATGTTCTGACTCTGAAGCAAGATTGGTGAAATTACTTGGGTTTAGGTGTTTTAATGCCAAAAATCTTCTCCTGCAGGACCGAGGTGATGAATTCACATACACTGGGAGTGGTGGTAAAAATCTTGCTGGTAATAAAAGAATTGGCGCACCATCGGCTGATCAAACATTAACAAACATGAACAGGTACTCTTTATTGTTAGAGTTCTGTAAAGACTATTTGGAATTTGGGCTTTGTATAAAAGTTTGATTATAGGACCATAATTTGTAACCTAGACAGTAGAGGAGAATCTTAAATTGAGAGTGAAATATCTAAAATTAAAATCCCATTACCTAATTATATAATTGTTTCTAAGCATCCTAACTTCTTTGTATCATTATCTTTAAAATGACATAAATCCCAGTCGTAATACATGTGCTTTGCATTTGAAAACATGTTGAAACCTTTGAAGTGAAGGAGCCTATAAAATTTAAGTAAAACTGAGGAAAAGGTGGCTTATCTACTACCCCATAGGTCAGTTATGTTCCACTCAACACAGATTTATCTTTTAAAGGAACAGACGTTTTTTAGAGGAGACCCGCTGATTGATGTAAGAGCATTATGTTTGGGAGCTACATTTATGTGTATAAGGGAAACATCAGATAACTTAATCAAAAATACACTCAAAATGCTTTTAGGATTTGTAATAATAAGATGTCTTTTAAATGTTAGAGAGTATTTAGTTACAAAAGTGACCTAGTAAATGCTTGTAAGGCATTACAAAAGAGCCACCTTGTGCTGACCTTTATTCTATAGAAGTATTAATGACGTTTTAATATCTTCAGAATGTTTTGTTTCATAAATGCATGCTAATATCAATAATAATAGATTAAGTAACCCAAACCATCAGATAGCAACAATCACATTATAACTTGTCATACTGGTAATTTTCTTATAATTTCATAACATTGAAATTTTTTGTATTCTATTAAGGGTGTTTCGTGGATTATTGAGTAAAAGTATTTTTTGCTTTGTTGAGTCTAAATCACTTGGTTTTAAGTAGTGTGCCCTTAATTTCCAATTACCTTGGGAAGTAAAGAATATACTAGTATGAGTTCAAAACAGTATGGTGTACCAAGTTACATAGAATCTCTGTTTTTATGTCTTCCTTCTGTATTATTTCTGACAGTAGGATTATTTTACTGAACCAGCAGAGGAGACAGGTCAGATTTGCTGGTGAAAACATTCCTGAGGCAGAAGTCCAGTCCCTAGTATTCTTTTTCTAGCAAGAAAGCAGCTCTTCAGGAGGAATGATTTTAAAAGGAGTTAGAGATATTTTGATGTGTTTTGTCAATGTCTTGAATCCACAAAAGGGCTTTTCACGTTGTCAAATGTGAAAATTAAATTTTCCCTTTAATAATAATGTTATTTTGCTGTAATGAAACTTCTTTTGTAACTACCAGCACTTGTAATGTACATGGGAGATTCTTTTCAAGCTTTTGAAGAATCTAATAAGTATATCCTGTTTACCATATGTTAAAATCTTGTTAGAAAATAATTGACAAGTAGTAAAAATGTATTAAAAGGAAAGTAGTGAAAATGAAATATTAACCCAAAACAATTTAGAATTGACTTATCACAGAGACTCTAACATCCATTCAGTTAATTAACACATTAAGCTGTGAGTGTGCCTTGTGATTGTAAAGACCTCTTTGGCAAAGGTACTTATATGTTTTATAAATGTGAAAACAGGTGAAAGGCCCTTAGCTCTGACCCATAGTATACTCTTTCCTGACTAGTATATGCTCCAATTCATTTTTGCTTCTCTGCTAAGGGGTAGCTTGACACCTGCTTCTTGCTTTTGAGAGGTTTGTTCCTATTTCTTCTCAGCTCTTGCACTTTAAGAAACTGAGGAGGCCAACAAGGTAATCTGGCTATCCTTTATCGGGGCAGTTAGAAGCAACCAGCTGAGCTGTGGATAGAGTAATGGAAAAGCCTTGCTTTGCTTAATTTCATCCTCTTGGACTCTTTCACATGATTGAACAGCCTCCATACTTATGTGAAGCTAGAAGTGAGTTAATAACGCCAGTTAGTGGTGGCAGTCAGTATGACCGAAGGTACCTGTGAGCACCAAAACATTCTAGTCGTTAACATGAAGATAGTACTTATTCTTATCCCAGCTCTTTAAGAAGAATAGGTATTCCATAAATAAGATACAATACTAGCCCTAGAAGTGAGAGCTATATTTTCTTCTACCTCTCAGAGTTTTAATGCATCTCCTTTTGAGATAAAAAAGATAACTTGGTAAGCTTTAACTCTGACCACATCTATAAACGTTTTTGGGGTGTTTTTAATGAAACACTTTCTTAAGTTCATTTGTTTTAACAATGTGACTATGATCAAGAGATTTCAGTAGGTTAGTGATTTAGCCTTAAGGTCTTTTTCTTTTTTTTTTAATTTGAGCCTCATAAAAAGAACTATACTCTGAGAATGTATTTTGTTATCATACCTGATTTCACCAGATTGGGGGCAGCGGGGTGGTTTGTGTGTGTGTTTTAACCTGATGTGTTCTCAGAAGTTTCTTTTCTCTTAAGTTAGGAAGTAGATGTCTTAGAGGAAAAATACGAATTTTAAATAGATTTTAGTTTTTTTTTTTTTTTTTAATTTTTAGCAGGACTAAGTTCTCCCAAGAAAGGTCTTCTAACATCCGATACCCTTAGTCATTAATTGCTACTTCCGTACAAATATTAAGGAAACTTCAGCAAAGTCAGGTGCTGCTTCCAGCTCAGTGTTCCTCCTTGTTCATGTGTCATCAGTAAATTGTAGTGATCTCAAGCACCCAAAAATCTTTATTGTCATGATTTCGCACAGGCATTTGAATGCTTCAGTTTTATTTAAACTTATCTTTTTACTGGAGGTCTTTAAAGAATTTTCTCATATGGAACTTGTTCTTAATATCTTCAAAACTTTAAGGAATCTCTGTTGTCTGGAATGTGGAAAGTAGACCTAGAAAGGTCATCTGTACCTTGCTGACAAATTTATTTTTCTGGATTTCTTTCTACATTATTCCAGCAATTTAACTCACTCCCTTATCAAAAAATAACTATTAGAACCATCACTTGCTTTAGTTTTCCAACTTTCTCCCTTCCCTCAACAAACGTTATTTAAAGAAAATTCCATGTATTTCTAGTTGTTTTCTATTATACGTGGCACAGATGTTATTACTTTCAGAAGAACCCTACAGGCTATCTGAGAACCAATCCCCTGGCTTGGGGGTGACATCAGAAAACTGATTTGTCTTCTCTGCTGGTGGGGGAAAGCATAATCCTATTATCTGGAATAATATGGAAAGAATCATAGAATCTTAACCATCAGGTAAGGCATAATTCACCTTTTAATTGAGCTAATGATGTGATTATATACTTAAAGATTACTTGGTATAAAGACTTTGTTTTATTTTTTAGGGCATTGGCCCTAAACTGTGATGCTCCATTGGATGATAAAATTGGAGCAGAGTCTCGGAATTGGAGAGCTGGTAAGCCAGTCAGAGTGATACGCAGTTTTAAAGGGAGGAAGATCAGCAAATATGCTCCTGAAGAAGGCAACAGATATGATGGCATTTATAAGGTGCTCTATCTGGCATGACATCTTGTTAGTCATTCTTCCTGGGCTTTCAAGACAGGGTTGCCACAGGGAACTGCTCTACTGTGGGTGGGCTGGAGCAAACATTAGATCATACTAGTTGGTATTTCTTTTTCTAGAAACATAATAGATACACAGAGCAAGCTCTTAACTTTGGTACTTTGCTTTTAAGGCTTATTTGAAGTCCTAAGGGCAGAGTTATATTTTGGGGTTAAGCTTTTTATAGGGATATATTCTCGATGATAAAACTTATTAAATAACTTACCCATTGTAGATCTTGATTCTTGGATATCTTTCAGAATGATTTTCGTTGTAATAGATTTTCAAAGCAGAGCACATTATAATTTTTAAAATAGGTTGTATTCTTTGTTTGAAAAACAGAGGCATCTACATCCACCATTTTTATCAACTATTATGCAAAATTCTATTAATGAGCATAATCTTGTTACCATTTTAAATTTATAGCAATCTGTACTTACATGGAAACTATCTTAATTAGGAAATAAGATCAAAACAATATTTTAGTGAATATTTTTATTTATTCACTATTACAGCAAGGCAAGTATGTTTTGAAGTTACATTTAGTTCTGCTAAGTTTACTTAAACCACTGATATGACATTATGAATAAGTCTAAACTTTAAATCTCAACTACTACTAAAATATTATGATTTAGGTGGTGAAATACTGGCCAGAGATTTCATCAAGCCATGGATTCTTGGTTTGGCGCTATCTTTTAAGAAGAGATGATGTTGAACCTGCTCCTTGGACCTCCGAAGGAATAGAACGGTCAAGGAGACTATGTCTACGTTTACAGGTTAGATTACATTTGTCTAGGCTACTTGTATGTTTATAAAAATGTACACCTCTGTACTATCTATGTGCCTTAATACTGGAAATAACCACAATTGGAAATAACACAACTGGAAATAATCCCACAGCAATTGATCAGTGGACTTTAAGGGGTGAGGAATGAGATCATGCAAGTATACAGAAGAAGAAGAAGTAGATTGCCCTAAGACCAAGAATTGTGCTTGGGAAAAGCTGGGCTTCTCGATGAAAAGTAAAATACTTTCTATTCAATTTGGAAATGATTTGAACTGTGAGGGAAAGGGATACATAAAATTTAGGTATACGAGGCCTTAAGAAGGGAAGTTTATCCTGGAGGGCACAGGGGGTACATCTCTGGTAGGGGAAGGGGGGAGGTGGCTTATAAGAGTGGTCTGCTTTCTACCCTTCTCACTTTTCCTCACCCCTTTTCTCTCTTCCCCTTCAAAGCTGCTTCCCTGTCCTGTCACCACGTTTAGTGCTTTGCCTTTTTTTTTTCCTTTGCCCATGCTCAACTGTTAACCCATGTAAGACTTTGTTGGTTTTGTGCGCATTATGAATGGTATGGCTACATTCCCCCTCCACTGCCTACACACCCTAGACTTTGTCCCTAACACTGACTTCAGAGCATGGTTTGAGTTTGTCCTCCATCATTCCCCATCATTGTGCTTCCTGTAAAGACTACCAGCTTTGTCATTTCCCCTGGCTCTGCCCACACTGCATGTGTAGGGGCTGAACTATGGGCAAGTGTCTGGCCACCCAGGCAGGTGAGTGTGTGTCTTCTAGTGCGAGTCTGTTTCTGTTTTTTTCTTTTTAAACTCAGAATTAATTGTTTAAATGATACCTATCAGCTGCCAAAAAAACTGTCAAAATAATTCTTTTTATAACTAAATATTTTTTAAAAAGTGTTAAATACATTTTCGAGGTTTTTTCAGATCCTCTGTTCAGCAGAGCAATGTTCTAGATAAGTTATACTTGAAACTGAGTGGAAGCTTGTAAGCCCATCTGTGATGAGTTAATAATATCATTGATGAGACCTGAAACATACTGAACTTTAAACATGAGTGTTATTACAAAGCATGTCAAAAAAAAAAAGGGTAGCCAGTAAAACACAGGGATAATAGGTAAAATTTATTCCTTAAAGTCTAACCTTTAGCTGATAAAGAATTCAGTGGCTTTAGGTCTTCTAAAAGATTCCTCTCCTCCAATTTTGGGAGATAAGAAATTTGGCCCTTAATGTTTTGGGTGTTTTGTTTGGTTTTGTTTAGATTGGCTCCACAATTTAGTGTAATCCCATCTATATGACTACCATCTGTTGTGCTCTGGGGTTGATCTTCACTTACCTTTGTCTCTAGATTCTGCTTTCCTTTCTTCCTCAAACTTTTCAAGCCACCTAGTCACAACTCCTGAACTTTACCTTTCCTCTTTTAGATCTGAAACTAAGATCATTGTATTATAAAGTGGAAAATCTTAACAGTCAAAACTACATGGTTTTACACTGAATTTGGGATTTTCATAGTCTTCTGTCCTTTGAATTCTGTTTCTTTAAATGTCTATTTCCTTTATATAAAGTCTTTCAGTTTAGAGAAAGTATAAACTCCACCCCACCCCCCTTTTTAAATTTCTCACCAGGATCTAGAACCCTCCTTTGCTGTGAAGCTTAAATCTACATTGTTCTTTTTTCCCCCATCAGTATCCAGTAGGTTACCCTTCGGATAAGGAAGGGAAGAAGACTAAAGGACAGTCAAAGAAGCAGGCCAGTGGAGCCTCAAAAAGACCGACTACAGATGGTAGGTAATGATTGCAGAACATAAACCCTAATAATGTAGTTTCTAATAAAGAGAAATATTCAGAGAATAAATTGAGAAACTCATAAGAAATTAAAAGCAAATTGAAGGATTTGGAGGGTGGAGGGAGGGGGGGTTTGTTTTAATAATGGCAGAGCCAAAACAGCAACAAATATAGTATCCTAAACTCCATGGCAAGTTAGATGCTATTTATGTAGGTTATCTTCATGCTAAACGTTTCTGGTGCCAGTTAATTCTTTTGTTTCATAGTTCTGCTTAGAACCACTTGTAAGTCTGCTGATGTATTTTTAAATAAATATAGATGATTGTCCAAGTGCCTCTAAAGTGTTCAAAGCATCGGATTCAGCAGAAGCAGTTGAGGCTTTCCAACTGACCCCTCAACAACAACGCCTAATCAGAGAAGATCATCAAAACCAGAAGCTATGGGATGAAGTGCTTGCATCACTTGTGGAAGGACCAGTATGTAAAGATTTTTTTAGTAATAATGTTCTAATATTAACATGATGAAAGATAATTTCCCTATGAAGTATCATATTCATAAGTCAGTTTGAATTTGATCCTTTTATCCAATCCAGTCTTCTCATCCAGTGCTGCCACCTTTCAGAAATAATCTGAGGCTGTACTTAAATGCTTTAAGTTGAATTTAGGCCTCTTTGATGTTGGTTTTTGACCTTTCTCTGCCTTAATAATTTAAATTTAGATACTGTTCATGGGAAGAATTTTCAGTTGTGGAACACACTCAACTTAATCTAAAACTCATCAGGAAAGTTTTTGTTACCGTTCAAAATTACCTGATCGCATAAATCTTAAGTAATTCAGTGCAATTTTCACTGCTTATGTGTTCAACCTAGGAGTAAAATAAATCAGTATTGATTTATTTAAATACTTTGTTTTGGATTTTTTTCCACTTTCTGATAATCATAAAATTAACTGATGTGGATTTTCTGTTAAGCTGTGTTTTGCAAATGAAGCTTTCTTATCAAATCTCAAAAGCTGGAGGTTTCAAATGTAAATTGTCTTTTCATTCTTTGCTCACTTTTATTGTCTTTAATTTTGGTTAGAAGTTTGAGTCTTCCTTTTTATTACATGTTAACTCCGTGTCATGTATAATATAGTTACTTTTCTGTTTTCTTTCTCCCCAAAGTATTGTGATGTGCAGCTACTATGAGTGAGCTCTAGTATCCTCTCTTGAAATTTCATCTTGTCATCTTTTAGTAGTTTCTTTGTTCTGATTTTCCCTTTATTTCTTGCAGTACATTAGCCAGAACTTGTCATTTATCTGGAATGGGGTTAATGAATATCTGTATGTGCTTTTTGTTTAGATTTAGAGGGAACTCTCATAGAATTTTTGTGTCATCATTATAACTATATTAAGGAAAAATCTTCCTGATATATATATATATACACACACACACACACACATATATATATATGTTTTGTTTTGTTTTTTTTAAAGATTTTATTTTTACTTTTTCTTCCCAAAGCCCCCGGGTACATAGTTGTGTATTTTTAGTTGTGGGTCCCTCTAGTTGTGGCATGTGGGATGCCACCTCAGTATGGCTTGATGAGCAGTGCCATGTTGGTGCCCAGGATCCAAACCAGCGAAACCCTGGGCCCCCCTAAGCAGAGCACGCGAACTTAACCACTCAGCCACGGGGCCGGGCCCCCCGATATAATTTTTAAACTTTTAGAAATGGGTGAGGTTTATCAAATACCCTTTGAATTTATATTGGAATCATCATTTCCTTTGCCTATAAATGTGATATATTAGGTTATCTTTGGTGGAATGAGGCTTCCGTGTTTGGAGGACAGAAGGAAAGTGATTTGGCTGTGTGAGAAGTGTTACTTGCTTTTTAGCCAAGAGACCCAGGCATAAGGAGAGTCTGACTCTGGTAGGTCACACTCATTTTCACTTAGAGCAAGTAAGATAGAGCAAGCAGTGCTTGATCATGGTCTAACTATTCTCTGGTTGGAGAGGATACAGCTGGTTAATGATAACTCAGGTAAGCTCCTGCTGTGGGTGGGCAAGAGACAAAGTAGCAGGTGAAGGAAAAAGTCAACCTGAGTGCAGGTGGAGTTCTTTTTGCACATCTGTTTTCTGGGTTGGACATGTGTATTGCGCTTGAAAGTGAGGTTTTTAATATGCATATCCTGTTTATCAATAAAAATATTATAGAAGTGGTTGAATCTTGCGAAACTTGGCAAGTATGTGCAAATCAAGTATACTTGACTTTTCAACCTCTTCTTTCAGTGGAACTTTTTTATGAAATAAAGTCACCAATTAAAAGTTCTCAAACAAGAAAAAAGAGAAAAGAAGTCCTGCCCACTGATAACAGGATCTTATATGCCTAGGTTGGATGGTTGTGACCTTGCTGCTAGTGATTACTCTGGATGTTTATGTACTATTGCCCCGAGTAGCTTTCATGTCCAGTTCTCTTCAGATAAACCAGGAGCACCTTTATTAAGCCAGAAAAATCAGATGTTGGCTAACAGTGACTTTTAAATAAATGGATATATTATATGTACATCTATGTCCAAATACTTTCCTAAGGCCCTCTGTAATCTGGCATCCCTGCCTACCTCTGCAGTCTCCTCTTGCACTTTCTCAGGTCCAGACGGCTTCGGCTGTGGTGATCCCTGAGCTATTTAAACACAACCTGTTCCTGCTCCTAGGCCCTTACACTTATGCTGTCTCTCTGACTGGCATTCTCTCCTCTACATCTTCATGTGGCTCACTCCTTCGTATCCACGCTTCTCAGAGTCTCTGGAAAAGTATTATACTCCTCAGAGAGGCCTTCCCTAACCTTCCTTTCTAAAATAGCCACTCTACTCTTGCTTTAATTTGCCATGTTTCCTCGGTTATTACTATCTGAAATTGAATGTTTTTAGTCTGCTCTCCTAAAGCAATATAAAGTTCCATGAGAGCAAAGACTTTGTCTTTTTATCACCACTAGGTAGATGAGTGCCTAGCACATCAGAGGAACTCAAAATATCTATAATACATGTACTCATATTACAGGTGCCATGGAGGTACTGGGGAAATACCAGTCATTAACACAGTAGTTCGTCAGGGAGAGGGTACTTGGTATTACAATTTGAATTTTTTCCACATCTCTCCTTAACTGGTGTATTCTTTTAATGTGTTACTTAATATTTTGTTGATAATTCACTCGACTTTTATAATCCATGCTCATAAATAACTTAGTATCAAGACATAACTTTGGAATAGGGTCTTTGATTTTTTTATTTTTACTTGAAATTCTTATAAATTCTATTTTTTCTGTTAAATAAAGAACGAACAAAATACACTCTCTACTATTGAATGGAGGATAATAATTTTGACTATTCAAAAAACTTCTTATTCTAGTTTAAGAGAAACAAACAGCTTGAGTAAAAGGGAACCAGTCATGGCTTTTGAAGAGTATAGAGTACTCATTTGATCATGTTTGCTGTATATGGCTCTACCTTTTATAAGTTAGTCCTAATTTGACTAAACATTAGCATCAAGAAAATGAGATTTTTGGATTGAGGCAAATTATCGCAGAAAATAATCCTAAGAAAATGAATATGTTGATTCTTTGGAGTCTTAGATACTATAGTGTATTATTGCCCAGTGCTTTTATTTTTTTTTTAGCTTAAAAAATAAATATTGACGTTTTGTAACAGCAAAAGATTGAATAAATAATACCTGTTCATATACTGGAATACCATGCAGGTTTTTGAAAAAAGTGATCTGTATGTAGTGACCTTGAGACAAGCTATGGTGATCTCTGGAATGTGAGGTTTAGGGCGGCGTTCACTTTTTAATGCCATATATTTTGACTTTGCAACCTCTCCATCCCAATCCTAAGATTTAAAACTAATGTGTTGATCTTATGGAATGGGTTTTCTTCAGTTTCTATTGCTTATAGTTAGAATCACTACCTGATTTGTTTTTTCTTAATGGAAAACGTATTCAATGTAACTGACACTTTTTTTTTTAAACACTTAGAATTTTAATATATTATGAAATGCTAACTTTTTTCCCTTCCCCTTGGGTACCATTCTAGAATTTTCTGAAAAAATTGGAACAATCTTTTATGTGTGTCTGCTGCCAGGAGCTAGTTTACCAGCCTGTGACAACAGATTGCCTCCACAATGTCTGTAAAGTAAGTAGACTTCCTTTCTCATTTTCGCTTCTTAGGCTAGAAGGCACACTAACCTCCAAACCTGTTTTTAGCATGTGAAGAAGCATTTTTCCATGAAGCAGGATAGTTATGGAACCTTGCCAGTTAAGAAGCATTTAATTATGTCTTGGTGGTAAATGCATGTTTTAGTTCTGTAGTAATTCAAATATATATAGTTTAGGTATTCTATCATGTTTGGAATTGTTGAGGAGAGGTTGAAATGGCACAGAAAATAAGGTGTCATTGCTGTTTCCTATGTTACAGCTTATGTATTTTTCATATATTATAGTGCAAACTGAAGTAATTCCATGAACTTAATGGAATCTAAAATAGATTCGACCTGGCAGCATGCCCAGAGGAGTTGAATACTGTGTTATCAGTGTGATGTAAAAGGAAAATTTGAGTTTTAGTCAAACCAAGGTTGGAATGTTGCTCTACTGCTCAGTGATTGTATGCCCTGGCCCAACTTCTGAACTTGAGTTGTTGTAAAATGGAAACAAACTTCCACATGTGTATTTGTGCCTGACCTTGAGTCAATTAACTCTATGATATATTAATAATATATTATAAATATATTTTTGGAAGACATTATATGTTAAGTGATTTGATAAAATATATACCTTAGTTCTAATTAGGGAAATCTTGTATTTCTTTTCTTTAGTGCTCTAACAGGAAAGAACGTGATAGAACAGGAAATCCAACCTAGAAGAGGAGGCTAGTGGGAGCCACACATAATTCTAGCACCCTCATTTTACTGGTTGAGGAAATTAAAGCACACACTAGTTAGTCTCATTCACCTGAACTCTCACAGTCTGGTTAGAGGTAGACCTAAAGCTGTGTCTCCAGACTAGTTTTCACAGTGCAGATTCAGGCCGTTACAGTTGTCCATCTTTTATGTTTCTCTTGTTGCTGTAGTGAATTTCTAGTTCCTATTTGAAAGCATAAGTTGTTGCGTATGTTTCTACATGCTGCACCCTCAGGTGAAATTGGTGTGTTTCTGTGTTTGTTTTTGGTTTTGCCTTAGGATTGCTTACAGCGCTCCTTTAAGGCTCAAGTTTTCTCCTGCCCTGCTTGCCGGCATGATCTTGGCCAGAATTACATCATGATTCCCAATGAGATTCTGCAAACTCTACTTGACCTTTTCTTCCCTGGCTACAGCAAAGGACGATGATTTGTCTACTTCTACTGTGTGGCTCCCGTTGGCTTTTTGGACAATAAAGAATCTAAAATGATTGGGGGGTGGGAGGGGAGCAGTGATGGACCACATCTCACGTTCTGAAGCAGCTAATCCTCTTTCCTACGTAGCCATCATCTTGTGTGTGTAGTAAGAGGCCCATTTCTCAGCTGTCTTTTAAATATCAAAAGGTAGTTCTTGTCAGTAACAACTAGTTTTAATGAGTAAAAAGTTAAAGCCTCAGCTCTAGTTGATATCCAAGTTATGATTTATTTTGCAACTACCTCAGGACAGAAAAGATTTATGGGGATTTTTTAAATCATTGAATAATTAGTTAAATGAATTTTAGCTACACACTGCCTCCCAAATATTAGTTGTGCCTGGTTCATGTAATTTGATTTTACAGAAAAGAAAATGACACTTGAGATTGTTGGAATGAATGCAGCTTCTGTAGTGTGCATAATACATTTTTAATGTCTTCTTCCATTACAGTGTGTGTTTTGCAGGTTCATTTTTTAGCCCATTTTTGTGAACTCCATTGTGCTTTTTTCTGGTGTTTTATGCAAGTTGACTACTAATGACTAATGAGAACAATATGAATGCATTGTTGCTGCATTAGTGTAATGTGGTGTGGTTTTGCACTTAAAAGAGGTATTCAGATGCTCTAGTTGTAAATGTTCATGAAAAGCCTCTTCTGTACTAGTCAAACTGCTTTTAGTGAGTCTCACCAGTGGTTTTACATCTGCAGAGCATTGAGGACTGGGCTGACTTTTGAGAGGATTGAAATTGCTTCATATTGTGATCCTAAATTTTATATTCACTATATTCCCTAAAGTATACCTTAATAAATATTTTATGATCAGAAAAATAGCTCATCTTGCCTCACTTTTTTACATTTTTCTGGCTTATAGTATGTATTTCTAAGACTCAGTCATTTCCAGAATATTTCACTTTGTGTTTTTATTGAAACAGGCATTTTGCACAATTTTTTACTCTTGATTTTTGATAATGAAAACTATGAAATTTTAAGCGCTAAGGACAGATTTCACCCTGGGTTAGATTTATTTATTTATTTATTTTAAATTTTACTAAATGGAAAAACATTTCTTTTCTGTATAACAACTTCAGTCTTCAATTTTAGTGTAACCAATGCTGCTTCTTATTTCACAGATACCAGAATATTCTAAAACATAGTTCCAGTCTCTGAAGCTATATTACATTTTCATCAGGGAAAAGCTTTAATATGATCAAGTCAGTTTTCCTACCCCTGAATTCAGAGCCATATATATAGCCAACATTTATTGAATATTTGCTTTGCACTAGTCACTTTTCCGTTTTTATGTGTATTCATTTAATTTTACTGACAATCCTAAGAGGCAGGTGCTATTATCCCCATCTTATGGATGAATGGCAAAGGCACAGAAAAATTAAGAAAGTTGCCAAAGTTTGTACTCAGAGGAAGTGGCAGAGCTGTGCTGTAAACTCGGGCGATCCGAGTCCAGATGTGGCAGCCTTTACTTCTGGGCTTCACAGGCTCTCCATCAGAAGATAAGCCAGACTCATCGCAGTGCTTTTCCTGCATTCAATTAAACTCAAATTCCAGTTCTGGGAAACACTTACAGCAGAGTGATTGGAGCTATTGTCACTTAGGGCCAGTTATAAACTTTGGAATCACTTGTGTTTTGAAGAAGCAAATTTAAATAGGACCTTCTTAGATGGAAAATGAATCGTTAAATTGCGTCATCTAGTGTTGTATTCCTTCAGCACTGGCCACATCTCTTTGTGAAGGGTGGAGAATATCTCCCAGTTTCAGCTACTTGAACTGGTTTAGTTCTACCACTTTTATTAGCAAAATAAATGATTCCCACAGTTAGACTATGTATTATCTTAACTGTGTTACAACATGATACACTAGGAAAGAAAGCTGATTACAGCTTAATGTGTTCAGAAATACCAAGAATGGCCCAAAGCCTAAATAATTTTATGTTGCTCTTGAAGTTTGTTTGGTGACTTTGGTTTTTTTACATGAATATTTCAGTTTGTATCTAAAAGATACAGAGTTTTACAAAACATAACCACACTGTCACACATAAAAAAAAATTTAACAGTAATTTTATCATTGGATAGCTAGTAATAATGTTCAAATTTCCATAGTCTCAAATGCCGTACATGTATATTATATTTTAAGTTAGTTTGTTTGAATCAGGATCCAAATAAGGACCTTACATTGTTGTTAATTGCTGTCTCTTTTCTTTTAATCAGTATACCCCCTCAATGTTTTTTTTTTCTCCCTTCCCTTTTTCCAATTTGTGTGTTGAAACTGTTTTGGAGCCTTTCTGACAGAATAGATTTTGCTTATTATAATTACGTGGTATAGATTAACCTGTTCCTCTTTATTTTTCTGTACATTGATAGTTAGAATTCAAGCATGACCAGATTCAAATTTGAATTTTTAATTTTTTTGGCAAGACTTCTTCATAAGTGGTGTGTTTGTTCTTCAAGTCATACATAGTATCTGGTTGTCTCTTAGGCTTAAATTTAAAAGATGAGCTTTTCTCTGGATTCTATTACATTTAGTAGATTACAGTGATTACTGTTAAGTACTCATCCACTTTCATATGGGTAGGGGCTTCTTTTAGTTTTTTCTAATTAGAGTAGGCAGGGCCTCTAGTTTTAGAACTCACTTCTAAATAACATGGTTCATTGAACAAATATGTGCATGCAAGTGTGTTTAAGGATATTAGGTAATCTTTGGGAAGCTGGTAATCTAAAACAACGTTAGCTTTCTCACAACCCTGGTGTGACAATGTGGCTAGCAGAAAGGGGCCCCATCTATGTAACTTACAGGTTTGAATTTCAGGATAGATCTACTTATAAGAGCTGGATAGAGATCTGCCCTGACTTTCCTACTGTCTGCTATTCTTTCTTTGCCCATTAGGGACCAGATCTTTCCCCATTCTTCTTCAGGACACCCTAAAAGATAGAGCTCATGACTATCTACCCGATTTGAGGGAATTGAGCTTGATGGCCCACTTGTCACCGGCTCATCTTGGGAAGAGTTATCCCTGTTTGTCCACTGTCTACTGACTGGTCCCCACACCACACCTTTACAGGAACTGATATTTAGTAACCAGGATTAATCACACACTACACAGAAGAAAATTGAGTAAACACCAGTCACTGGGCACAAGAAATCAAGAGCTAGCTAGAGAGGGACCAAGCAGGCTGACAAAATGACTACTATTGAAAAAAATGAATGAAAGAATGAGTTTTACAACTATATCCTCAAGTATTAAATTGCATTGCATTGATAGAACAAGCTGCGTGAAGAGTAATTTGAGATTAAAATTCTTGGAAATAAACATGATTGTGAAAACAAAATGAAACACAAAACAGAATGGACACTGCCAAAATTTGAACGTATTGCTAAGTGATCTGTTATATATGGATATCCCACAATCTGTTTATCTATTCATCTGCTGATGGATAATTGGGTTGATTCCAGGATTTTGCTATTATAAATAAAGCTGCTTTGAACCTTTGTGTGTAAGTCTGTGGAAAATAGTTTGAGACTTTCTTATAAAATTAAATATGTACTTAACATACAACCCATCAATTTCATTAATACTTATTTACTCAAGAAAAGTGAAATATTTCCAAAGTGGTTTATACCATTTTACATTCCTGCCGGTAGTGTGAGAGTTCTGGTTGCCCCACATTCTCACTAACACTTCGTTTTGTCCTTTGTTTTCATTGTAATGATTCTGGAGGGTGTGTAGTTTCTGTAGGAGACAAGAATGTGTTGAACATTTAACATCTAGAATGACTGGTAGTTGGTTGTACTGTTCACCAGGTATTTTTGGCTGTCAGGTGCATGTGTTAGGATTGTACATCCTAGCTTCCTTGTGGTTGGCTAGGGCCGTTTGACCAGTGGTTGGTTAGTTGTAACAGAAATGCTGTGTCACTTCTAGGCAGAGCATTTCATCGCCCTCCACAGTTTTCTCTCCCCTTCCATGGAGACCAGTAGCACCTAGATAGGGCTTTTCTATCAGCCTGAGTCCCAGAATAAGAATGATATAGGGGCTGGCCCCGTGGCCGAGTGGTTAAGTTCATGCACTCCGCTGCAGGCGGCCCAGTGTTTCGTTGGTTCGAATGCTAGGCGCAGACATGGCACTGCTCATCCAGCCACACTGAGGCAGCATCCCACATGCCACAACTAGAAGGACCCACAACGAAGAATATACAACTATGTACTGGGGGACTTTGGGCAGAAAAAGGAAGATAAAATCTTAAAAAATAATAATAATAAAGAATGATATAGAGCCCCCAACCAACTTCTGATGGACATGCAACATGAGTAAGAAGTAAATCTTTAAGACCGTTAAGGTTTCTGAGTTGTTAACAAAGTATGACTTAACCTATCTGAATTTTTTAATCGATCTTTTACTAATTTGGAACTAGAACTTCCACTACTTTTTTTTCCAGGTAATTTTATTGAGATCATAATGGTTTACAGCATGGTGTAATTTCAGGTATACATTTATCAATTTCTGAATACACTTCATTGTGCTCGCGCCCAGTAGTCTAATTTTTATCCATCACCATACATATGTGCCCCTTTATTCCTTTCCCCGACACCTCAACCCTTTTCCCCTCTGGTAACCACTAATCTGTTCTCTATCCATGTATTTGTTATCTTCCACATATGAGTGAAATCGTGCAATATTTGTCTTTCTCTGTCTGACTTATTTTGCTTAACATCATACCCTCAAGGTCCATCCATGCTGTTGCAAGTGGAAAGATTTTGTCTTTTTTTATGGCTGAGTAGTAGTCTATTGTATATATACCCCACATCTTCCTTATCCATTCATATGCAGAAGGGCACACTTGGGTTGCTTCCACATCTTGGCTATTGTGAATAAAGCTGCAGAGAACATAGGGGTGCATAAATCTCTTTGGATCATTGATTTTAAGTTCTTTGGATAAATACCCAGTAGTGAGATAGCTGGATCATATGGTATTTCTATTTTAATTTTTTGAGAAATCTCCATACTGTTTTCCATAGTGGCTGCACCAGTTTGCATTCCCACCAGCACTGTATGAGGGTGCCCTTTTCTCCACATCCTCTCCATCATTTGTTGTTTTTCGTCTTGGTAATTATAGTCATTCTGACAGGTTTAAGATGATATCTCATTGTAGCTTTGATTTGAGTTTCCCTAATGATTAGTCATGTTGAACATCTGTTCATGTGCCTGTTGGCCATCTCTATATCTTTGGAGAAATGTTTGTTCATATCCTCTGCCCATTTTTTGATTGGGTTGTTTGGGGTTTTTTTTGTTGAGTCATATGAGTTCTTTATATATTTTGGAGATCAACTCCTTATCTGATAAATGATTTGCAAATATTTTCTCCCAGTTGGTGGATTGTCTTTTAATTTTGTTCATGGTTTCCTTTGCTTTGCAGAAGGCTCTTTAGTTTGCTGTAATCCCATTAACTTTTTCTTTTGTTTCCCTTGTTGAGTAGACATGGTATTTGAAAAGATGTTGCTAAGACCAATGTCAAAGAGTGTACTGCCTGTGTTTTCTTCTAGGAGTTTTGTGAATTCAGGTCTTACGTTCAAACCTTTAATCCATTTTGAGTTAATTTTTGTGCATCCTGCAAGATAATGATCTAGTCTACTTTCATTCTTTTGCGTATAGCTGTCCAGTTTTCCCAACACAATTTATTGAAGAGACTCATTTCTCCATTCTTTGTTCTTGGCTCCTTTTTTGAAGATTAGCTGTCCATAGATGTGTGGTTTTATTTCTAGGCTTTCAATTCTGTAGAACTTCCACTATTTTTTAACTAAATTCTTTACTATCCAAATCAGTTGACTACAAGCTATTGATAAGTTGGTTGATAGTGTGGTAGGCAACCTCTAGGATGGTCCCCAATGATCTCTGCTTCCTGGTCTTCATGCCCTGTTGTAATCTCCTCCTCTAGAGTGTGGGCTGGATTTAGGATTCTTTCGTAATGAATAGAATGCAGCAGAAGTGATGAATGTCACTTCTAAAGTTACGTTACAAAAATACTGTGGCTTCCACTTTGGGCACACCCTCTTGCTCACCCTGAGAGAAGCCATCTGTCATGTTTTGAGCTACTTTATGGAGAGGCGCATGTGGCAAGAAACTAATGTCTTTGGTTAACAGGCGGGAAGGTCCTGAAGCCACAGGAGTGAACACAGAAGAGAGTTTTTCTCTAGTCGAGCCTTGAGCCTCCATAGTTTCTGATAAGAAATCAGCCATTATTTGTAATGCGTTGCTTTTCTCTGGCTTCTTCCAAGATTTTTTTGTCTTTAATTTTCAGAAACTTGATTATGAAATGTCTGAGCGTGGAATTCTTTGGGTTTATCTTGTTTTGGGTTCATTCAGCTTCTTGAATCTAGATTATGTCTTCTATATGTTATCTATATATATCTATCTATATGTTATTGTCCCACAAGTCTCTGAGATTCTGTTCATTTTTATTCAGTTCATATTCTCTATTGTTCAGATTAGATAATTCTTAATGATCTGTCTACAGGTTCACTGAGTCTTTCCTCTGTCATCTACATTTTGCTATTGAGCCCATCTGGTAAGTTTTTTTATTTTGGTTATTGTATTTTTCAGTTCTAGAATTTCTATTTGTGTCTTCTATATTATCTCTTATTAAAGTTGAAATTTTCTTGGTTCGTGATATGATGAGTAATTTTGCATTGGATCCTGGACATCTTGAGTATTATGAAAATCTTGTTCCTTTTGTTTGTTTGTTGTTTTTTTTGTGGGTTTTTTTGAGGAAGATTAGCTTTGTGCTAACTACTGCCAATCCTCCTCTTTTTGCTGAGGAAGACTGGCCCTGAGCTAACATCCATGCCCATCTTCCTCTACTTTATATGTGGGACACCTACCACAGCATTGCTTTTGCCAAGCAGTGCCATGTCCGCACCCAGGATCCGAACCGGCGAACCCCGGGCCACCAAGAAGCAGAATGTGCGAACTTAACCACTGCGCCACTGGGCGGGCCCCTGTTCCTTTTTTATGGCAGTAAAACTGTTTAGTTCAGAATGCATGTTCTGGCCCACATTTGTGGCTCAATGTCAATTTAATTTTCAAAGCCTTTGCAGTGCTATTCTGGTCTACCCCATCTTGGATGCTACTCAGAAACCAGTCTGAAACCTGGGCAACAGTCCACTCATAGTTCATTTTGATTATTGTATTGATTATGGTCAGTTTCATGCATGGTCTCTTTGAGGGTCTGCCCAGGGCTTCATACACAAAGTTAAAGGAACCCTTTCTCTAGCTCCCTTCTCTCTCTAGTCCTCCCTCAATTTCTAGTCGGGAGCTGTAAAGTGCTATGTCTTTGCAGCTGGTTGCTCAAGGCCGGGCAGGGATGGTCTGCAGGGTTCCTCCCCACAGTCTCGGCCACATCCAGTGACTAGGGGTTGGGTGTTTACCTGGAGGGGGGCAAGTGTAATCAAATGAGTTTTTTTCCTCCAGTCATCCTTTTCCCATTCATTTGACTTGTGAGAACAGGCTTTTTTTTCTTTGTCTGGGCCCATTGATGTTTTTGGGTTTTAGGCTTCCCTTGTACCCAAGCCAGAAAAAGGTAAAAAGGAGACCAAAGAAAAACCCCAGGAAACTTACTTCCAGGCCATTCCTCAAGTTCCAAAGTACCTACGCAGGCCACCTGCTTTTTTCCCACCTTTCAGAGTCTCTTTATATGTGTGTGTGTGTTATACCAGCATTCTTTCTTTATTTTTTTCTTTGGTTATATATATATATATATATATATATATTTTTTTTTTTTTTTTTTTAATAAATTGCACACCTGGATTTTTTTTTTTTTTTTAAAAGATTTTATTTTTCTCCTTTTTCTCCCCAAAGCCCCCCGGTACATAGTTGTATATTTCGTTGTGGGTCCTTCTAGTTGTGGCATGTGGGATGCTGCCTCAGCATGGTCTGATGCGCAGTGCCATGTCCGCGCCCAGGATTCGAACCAACGAAACACTGGGCCGCCTGCAGCGGAGTGCGCGAACTTAACCACTCGGCCACGGGGCCAGCCCCTATATATATATATATATATATATATATATATATATTTTTTTTATTGAGTTCATAATAGTTTACATCAATGCAAGATTTCAGTTGTACATTATTTCTTGTTTGTCACCACATATGTGCTCCCCTTCACCCCTTGTGCCCACTCCCCACCTCCCTTCCCCTGGTAACCACTGAACTGTTTTCTTTGTCCATGTACTTGTTTATATTCCACATACGAGTGAAATTATCTGGTGTTTGTCTTTCTCAGTCTGGCTTATTTCGCTTAGCATCATTCCCTTTAGGTCCTTCCATGTTATTGCAAATGGGATGGATTTGTCTTTTTTTCTGGCTGAGTAGTATTCCATTGTATACATATACCACATCTTCTTTATCCAGTCATCGGTCGATGGGCACTTGGGTTGTTTCCATGTCTTGACTATTGTGCATAGTGCTGCGATGAACATAGGGGTGCATATGTTACTTTGGATTGTTG